GAATAGTTCTGGTCAACGTGACACAAAGTGGGCTGATCAGACTCCAGGGGCAATGCCAACCAAAACAAAGGTTCAGTCCTTTGCTTTAGAGTCATGACCAGATAAACTACTCTTCAGTCTTGAAAAGAGATGCCTCAGAATGGACCTCATCGAGATACATAATGGAACAGAGGAAACAATCTCAGGATAATACTTGCAGATATAGATAGAGAAGTTCTGGATGAGCTTAGATGTGAAAGAATTTATAAGTGAGGGTGAGGACTTTGAAGTTGATACTAATGGGTATGGAATCTCTGGTGACCTATTTGTGTCAGATCTCTGGTAGATCCATGATATCAGTGGGGGTGGAAGGGGAAGGGAGGAGAGTATATGTGGCTGTGCAAAAATAGGCACTAGGGGGTGGGGGCAGAACAGAGGGTCTTACAACGAGAAATGTAGCACTTAAGCACAGTTCAAAATGATGCTGGACACCAGATGCATCCTTGCATAGCTACATTTGATAATTGGACCTTAGTATTGAAGAAAATCCCATTATTTCCACTGGTTAGTATGTCAGTGACCAGAGGACATCCATTTAAGACAGTTAGCAAATGAGGAGCTTAGGAGAATTTTTTTTATGCAGAGAGTATGGAATGCTCTGCAGTAGTTGAGGCAGAATCCATATTAGCTTTCTAGATAGATGCAACAATAACAAATTACATTTGTATAGCTCCTTTCATGTTGGGAGGACATCCAAGACCCTGGACAGTCGAAAGATACCTGAGCTAGAGGTTGGAATCAGGAGAGGTGGAGGGCAAGGAGGGTGGAGTTAGGAGGGTGATTGAAGGCAAAGTCGAAGAGGAGGATCTTGAGACAGGCCTTGAAGGAGACAAAGGAGGAGGCGAGGCAAAGATGCCTGAATAAAAGTAAACTACAGGGGTATGGAGAAGAGGCAGATTTAAATGGGACTGCAAGGATTGCTCTTCAAAGTGCCAGGCAAGATGGGCCAAATGGCTGTAAATTCCTCTGATTCTATGCTTCCAAAAGACAGCTCCCAACTTGTTCAGAAGCAAGTTGTGACTCAAGAGGGTATGCTTCCAAGATCTGTTTATAAACTTGGCTCTCTTCCTTTTTAACTTGGGCAGGATTAAAGCTTAAGAAAATCCAGACATCTTAAATGATGCCAAAGAAGAATACAGCCCTCATTATTATTGTGAGGCACCAGCACCCTTCATATAGTTAGATTTAGATTTTCAATCTCATTTATAATAATAAACCACAAATTTGATATAGTGCTTAGAAATGTCAAAACACCTCAAGTGCTTCACAGGAAATTGCTGCCACGTGTAGTGACTGTGTACATATAGACAAATTTAGCAGCTAATTTTCTGCACATAACAAGGTCCTGCAAATGGCTCTGAAATGGATGCAGTGCAGTGGGCTGGACTGGGAGTTCCCACAATCATAGGGCTTGAATTCACTATTTTCTGAACCAAAGGTGAGATTGATACCAACTGAGCCAGACTGGCACTTCTAATTATATAAGAGGTAGCAACAAAAATACTATTGTGTGCGGAGGATTTGAGTCTTTTATTAAGTTGAAGTAATTGTCAGCCTGGCTCAGTTGGTAGCACTTTCCCCTCTGAGTCAGAAGGTTGTGGATCCAAACCCCACATCAGGACTTTGGACTCACAGTGTATTCACCTACAAATCCATAGTCATTGAGCTACACAATAAATTTATATTAACACTCTAATTCAGGGCTGGGGGAGTTGTACATTGTTGGGGATACTTTTCTTCAGATAAGATGTTAAACCGAGGTTCCATCTCCTGTTCTGGTGGATGTTCAAGCTCACCTTGGCACTATTTAAAAAGAGAAGAGGGATGTCCTGGCCACCTTGGCCAGGGGTATCTCAGGTAAAATTGGTTACTGAATTCCTATCCGTTTGTGGAATATTGCTGTGCACAAATTGGCTTCTGCATTCACACACTAAGTCAATGTGACTGCGCTACACAATAACTTTATTAAACTGAATTATTAACATGACAATTATTTTGCTAGAGAAGAGACGTTTAAGAGGGGACCTAATGGAGGTGTTAAAAAATATAGAAGGGTTCAACAAACTTAACATAAATAGGCTGTTCCCACTGGTTGGGAGTCCAGAACCAAGGGGCATAAATATAAGATAGTGACTTGGGGATCAAAAAGAGAATTTACGATGAACTACTTCAGGCAGACACTGTAAGACTGTAGAACTTGCTGCCTGAAGTGGTGGTTGAATAAAATAATATAGAAGCATTCAAGAGAAAGCAAGACCCTCACATGAGGGAGAGGGGAATAGAAGGGCTTGAAAGTCATTAAGGAATGGGTTGAAGGCTCATGTGGAGTATAAACAGAGGCACAAACTGGTTGAGCCAAGAGACCTGTTTCCATGCTGTAAATTTTTGTAAATCTCGTGAAGTATTCGAGACGTCTCGATCACGTGATAAAGCGTCATATCAAAATCAAATGCAAGGATCGTTACCATCACGCCCAATCACCATTCACCAGCTGCACCTTGCAAGCCTGATAGTGATCCCCTTTTTTCCCGAATGACTACAACAGTGCTTTTAACCATACCATCCTATTAAGCAAACCATTCAAAATCTCTGCATTGAATCCAATTTGCAGAAATTTGTCTTGGAAGTGCCTCGGAATTAAAGGCATTAACCCATCTCTAACAGCAGGGCTTCTGCAATGAGGAAAGCTTGTCCAATTAAACTCATTAGGACTGGGTCTGTAGTATAGCAGCAGAAATCTATCCAAAAAAANTGTGCCTGCTGTTTATCTGTTTTGGAAAAATTTCAGCTCACAAAATCACAAGGTTAAGTACGTGCAAAATGAAAGTCTAACTGCTCCTTTTGTTTAGAGTTAATCCAATATTGTGCCAAGTGCTTCACTCACTGGTCCTAAGAGCGTAGCTTCAGGCTCTATCTAAGTGGCATAGACAAGAGAACATTTCCAATTTACTGAGTTTGAGATTGGGCCAGAGATTATTTCAGCACAGAGATTCAGAGCACTGGGAAGCCTCTGGTGTTTCGATGGAGATAACGTGCAATGACTTGTGGTCATTTATGCCTGCCTCTCACCAGGCACGACACTGACAATACAACTGAATGCCGAGCGGCTTACATCTTCACCCCAAATCCCTGTGAAAACTACAACAGTTGGAAATAGGAAGGTTTAGTCCCAGAGATCAGGAAATTTCAGAACTCGATGGCTGAAATTGAAATGCAGCTCCCTCTCACCCCAACACTATGCTCAATGAAGCCGTGTCTCACAATTGGAATCTGGCTCACAGGTCTGAATTTTTGGTTAGTGCGATAGCAACTTTAGTAAAATTGTAACTGCACTAACCAGCAATGGTTTCACTGAAAGCTATTTCATGAATGGAAGTCAAATGTGCTACCTGGAGTTAAAGATGTCACCAGTGAGAAAGGTGTCAGTGGGGAATGGGGGGTGGGGAGGGAAGGGGTGCCTTCTCCTCCGACACTTTAGGAATTTAATAATAATAATCCTTGCATTTGATATAGCGCTTTTCACGTCAGGAGGACGTCCCAAAGCGCTTCAAATTTAATTTAATTTAAATTTCCACATTTAAAAAGCTTGCAGGAACCTTTTTGTCATAGGAACATAAAAGGTAGAAATGAAAAAAAATGAACTCCAGAGAAAAAAAAAGTAATTATACACTTTGGTTGCTTTTTAATGTCCGGCGCATAGATTAATACCAATAAACTATTCCTAGTTATTTTCAGCTTCACTATTCGTATATTAACAAAAGGATCCTAATAATATTAACCCAAGACTGTAGGCTTACAAAGCTGGGCTCAACGATGCAGTAAACTATAAAACAGACCAATTAAAGCTCTTTAATGGCCTGCATGTGGTCCAAGCTTGTGAGAAATGTACTCACCTCTCTAGGATTGCAAGCGTTTGTAAAGATTTATTCTGATTTTAATAGTTACCAGAAGATCCCCTAATGGCTTGTGGCCAATGGTGTAGAGACTTGGGCCTGTTAGTGGGAACCGAGAACGGAACTGGGCTAAAACGTGATGGTTTAGCTATAGGAGTGCCCATAAAAATTCCTCCATCATTGTTTTATTACATTCAGATGTTATAAAAATGAAGAAAAGGCCATCAGGCTTGCCTAGGTTGGCCTACTATGCAGGACTTAGTGACGTTCTTTTCATCTCCATCGTGCTTCGGAGTCAAGTCCATCTCCCTGCACTGTCTTAGCAAACAAAGACTGGGACAAGAGAGGAAAACAGGAGGACAAAGGCCAGGCTCATCACAAACACCACTATTCCATCTATTACTGTGGGATGATGCTGTGCGCAAATTGGCTATCACATTTGCAGACAAATACACTGTCACCACACTGTACAGTGAATCACACTTTGAAAGGACCCCTGGTCTGAAAGGCGCTATTTCAAATGTAAGGATTATTTATTGACTGCAATTCACAACAAAAATAATTTTAAGAAACGTATCAGAATTTTATGATAAATCACTTTCTACTTAACTTCTGTGACTACAGTACAACCCTGTTATAATGTAGTAGTTGGGTGCGGAGGGGGGAACCAGAAAAATCCCAACTGGTCTTGTAACAGAGTGCATCTCGCTTTTTTTAAAAAAAGACGTCTCAATGACATAATAAGACGCTATATCAAATGCAAGGATTATTATTATTATCATCATCACTGCTGGTCAGTTCTTCTGCAACATGAAGTGACTGATCACACTGGTAATGTCACTGCGCTTCAAACCGTGATGTCGTGCTTGCAAATGAGCCCTCGCGGGGGTGTTGCGTTTTGGATTTGAATCACAATCTGAAGTGCAACGGTGGCAATGGAGTCGGACACCTTTTTGTGCACGCGCATTGTATTTTTTGATAAGTACTGTAAACTTCAGTGTCAGCAGCCTACAAGCCAATCCGAGTTAAAACAGGAACACGACTGGAACTCAGAACCTTTTAACCAACCTGTTTTGAAAACTTCGTAGCGGATGGAGAAGCCAGCTCCATGTGTTTCATAATCGGACACAAATTTTACAAACAGCAGTGGCCCGGTGGAGATCTGAGGAGATGGTGCAATCTTCCCACAGAATTTGCCCAGAAGAGCTGCTTTCTCATCCCCACCATCCCGTACCTCCACATAGTCATACCTAGGAAAAAAACACAAGCATTACCATTAGACAGACCACATTGGTGACTGACATATCTGTAGTTACTTTTTCCACAGTTACCTTCCAGGTCTGAACTTGACACAGTTGTCACAGAAGTCAAAAGATTGCGTGGGTTCAATTCGTACAACAAGGCTTGATTGTATTTTAGATTGACACGCCAGCCGAGTACTGGGGGAGTGCCACATTGTCAGAGGTGCTGTCTTTATGACAAGCTTTTAAACCTTCTGCCACTTTAAAAATTCCATCATAGTATTTGAAAAATGAATGGAGTTACTCCTCGTGTTCTGGATAACAATTCTCCAGATGAATTGATCATTCTCTTTGTTTGTGGGATCTTGTTGTTGCATTTGCCTGCAAAACAGTTACTACACTCTGACACCACCTGCTTCCAGAACTGAGATCTGAGGGTCTGTATGATGCACATCTCGTTACTGGAAAGATTCCTGGTTTATAACTCGGGAGCCTTCATTACGGAATTTCACTCAGAAGCATCACAAAGTAGACCCCATTTAAAAAAAACACATGGACACTCAATCCATGACTGTTCGTGGGTTACTGCTGTGTGCAATCGGGTGCCATGTTTCGCCCACAAAATATACACCTTACAGTATATTCTGTGAAGTGCTTTGAGATGTCTCAAAGACGTGATAAGGCACTATATCAGATGCAAGGATTATTATTATTATTATTAAAAATAAACAAAGGTCTACCAGCTGTGTGGCTGTCAAAGAAAGCAAATCTACGTTGGGTTATTTGTAAGTGCATAGAAATACACGCAACCCGAAATGCTCTCCCCAGAATCCAAAGTAAAATAAAATCACACACTGTAATTTATTCCAGGAATGCAACAGAAAGCAACTAGTGGCTATTGAGGTGTGATGGTAATCGAGGTTTCAAATTAAGAGGATGCTTTCCCGTCACATACCAGCAGTGGTGCACAATTACTGCTGTGTATTGACAGAGAGAATTGCAATATACTGCCCATACATATATACATAGTCCTGATATCACACTAAAAAAAAGCTATGCAATCCACCAATGATTGGCACAGGATGCTATCTTGTCTGATTTGCTTCTGCGCTTCCCAGGACATATGAACACAATCGGATAATTTAAAAAGTCACTTGGCTGCTTGCAGTCCTCCTGCAGACCAGTACACAAAGTCAAGGTGACCCCAGACTCCAGTCTAATGGAAGAACAACCTAAGAAGTTTACAGATAGCAACCTTGAACCACCAGAAATGTTAACACGCCAAGAGACGTGACCTGCAATCTAACAGACCAGTAGCGAAACGACACAGACTGTATCACAGTTAAAGCTCCCGAAACTGTAAAAAACTCCAGCGGTCATAACTCAACATCCACTGCAGCAATTTTCTCAGGTTCTATTTGAAATTCACACAAAAGGGATGCTATAGAAAGGACCAATTTATACCATGAGAATAAAAAAAGGCCATTCAGTCCATTGAGATCCCTTCACTCAGTGTATTAGATTTTCTGTTGGCCAGCTGATTGTCTGATACATGAGGAAACCCATCACCATGCTTAAATGTATCCATTTAAATTTCATATGTGTATGGAAGTTTCCCTGTCTGGAATGGGCACTCTCCCCTGAGGGATGTGCCCTGATCATGTTATCCCGGAAAGTATTAGGTTGACAGAAGTCAAGACCTGGGTAACTAGATTGTGTGTTGGGTGTTCAACCAATTAAACCTGTGCAGCTTGCCATTGCAAACCCCGACTAATTTCCCTTAGGACCATTCTACCTATCCATTAGGACTTTGGTTTGTAGGGATAACAGAAGCCAAGTGGAAAGATTCTGTCCCTGGTGACTGGGCTGCTCTGCCAAGTCCTGTTGACAGGCCAACAGTATTTATTGGGGTCAGGCGGAAACCCATCGCCATCCTCAAAAGTATGCAAACCAAACTGAGATTTCCATACATCCCACCTTCGCATGGAAATTCCAGAGATAGATTGTTGGAATGGAATGCGTATCTCTCCATGGTCCATCATCAACTGTGTCTTGGAATATTATGGGCCTGCCTGGCTCGGGAACCAGATGATTGAGAACATCCCAGAGGATTGACTCGATTCTGATATTCTACCTTGGAAGCAACACTTGGGGTAACTAAAGAGACCCGATTTACCTCCTTCCCTCCCTGGAGGATAATTTATTTATCCTGACTGATCTTTTAATCTCATTTCCATCTCTTTTCCCCACATCCTTTAATACCCTTGATACTATGTATTCACCTATCTATATTCCTTTAAATACCAATTGATTCTGCATCTATGGTCTTCAGGAGAAGGACATTTTACATTTTCACAAACCTCTGTGTGAAGAAATATTTTCTAATCTCAGTTCTAACCATCCTACCTCTAAGTATCCATCTCCCTTTTAAAGCCTGAAGGGTGTTTGGCATAAACATGAGAAAAGGCTACTGCAAGGTACTGGAAGGTGACAAGCAGCATGGAACACATCTCAGCAGGAACCTTCAAGAGGAGAGAATACTGAAAGGGGATTGTCCTTAGACTCTGTTTCACAAGACAGCACAATAATCAGAGTCCTGGAACAAACACTTCCTATCACATGCTGAAAAAATTCAACTGCAACAGCTTAAATGAAGGAAAACTCAACATGTGTGAAATCCAGGCTCTAATGCCAATAATAAAATAATTGTCGGTAGTAAAGACACTCGTGCTATGAAACTGTAGCAGTAAGACTAGATGTGGTGGTAGACAGTTCAAAGTAAGCTACCAAAATGGTAGGAAAAGAGAGCCAGCAGACCGTCAGAAATTGACAACTAGAAGACAAGAGCTTGAATGTGGAAATTAGAATATGTATTATACAAAAATGGAGTTGCTGCCTAGTACTGTGTTTTCACATTTGATGGGTCAAACATGTAATTTTTACAGTCACGCACTTCATAGTATGTCATGTGAAGTACTTTGAAACATCCTCCCGTCGTGAAAGGCTCTCTACCAAATGTAGGGATTATTAATATTATTTCTATATCCATCCCAGCGATAATTAAGGAATTGAATATGCTTGGGAATTCTGCATTTTCTAGCCTATCATTATCAAACGCTGAAAACTGTAAACAGTTTTATTTCTTCTTTGTTTTTAAGTAGAAAATCTTTGGTGGAAGAAATATGAAATGTGAGGATATGAAGTTACAGTCCGTGATAATTCACACATCAAATGGGTGAAAGGCTACCCTACCCTTTTCCTCTGCCTTCCGCTTTCCTCCCTTCCTCTCCTAGAACATAGAAATCTTCAGTGCAGAAGGACCCATCTAGCCCACACTGGCTCACAATAACAACAAAATTACATTTGTACAGCGCCTTTCATGTCGGGAGAACGTCCCAAGGCACTGAATAATACAAGGACATCGCTTTAATCCCACTGCAATATGCCCCTTCAAGGCCCTCTTTTTCAACGCGACCGAGATACGAGAGGGGCTACCTCTCCTCTCCCTTGCTCTCCACTCCACAGTGAAGCCAGAGAAACCAGGCCCATGACATTGGACTTTCCAGCAAATAACAGGTGACACTCACTGATCCAGGTTCAAGACTGAAGAATGTGCACTTGGTTGAGTTATTAGTAAAGAGTGCGAGTACCAGTGAAGTTCAGCCTAAACCACTTACTTTGGAAGAGGTGTAAGAGGGAGAAAAAACATGTTATACAATGTAAAGTAAAAATGCTTTGTGTTTACCTCAAACAGAATAGATATGGAACAAATATACTATTTTAACAGACTACACAACTTTCTGGTGATAACAACCTCACATTAATATAAACAGACTTCAATTGTAGCCTTGGGCATCCTGATATCAATTCTTACTTACTGCCACCAGGCACATATGCTTAATCCTTTTTGTCCCCACTGAGAGTTTCTCACTAAGAACCGATTTGCCACAAAAGAAGCTTTATATCCTGGTCGATCGTATAAATGTAAAAGCTCTTTGTCAAAATGATATAACATGCAATGAATAATGTATTTGCCGATAAGGCACCAGAGGCCTAACATTCTTCATGGTCTTTACCTTAGAAAGACTTGTGGAAAACCAGCTTCTAAAATAACACTAAACACAAGAATTTTACAAAATTCTGCAGAATATTAAATTTGAAGACAACGCGACCATGAGAAATGTCAAGCCCTGTCTTGTGAATTCTTGCATTTGCATTGAATGTACTGTAGCACGTTTCACGTTGGGAGGAAGTCTCACAGGATGTACTGTGGAGTGTAGTGACTATTTTGTTGGCAAACAATCTAATAGTTTGTGTAAGGCTACAGTTTATAATAATCCTTGCGTTTGATATAGCGCCTTATCACTTCGTGGAGACTTCTCAAAGCTTTTCCCAGAATATATTGTAAAGTGGCTTGACTGTATATTTTATGGGCGAAACAATTTCTGGGTTTTGATGATCTTCATAAAATTGCTTAAACTTCTCCCTCATAGATCATGATGTTAGCTAAATGGCTTGATTGAATGACTGTTTTGTAACTCACTGATTATCCTATATGAAACAGTGGGATAACTGTGAGTGCTCAATTTTTGGTTCCCAATGACTTATTAAAAGACCAGAGCTGATTGTAATGGAAAGTGCCCTTTCAGTCAGTCTGCAATTATGTGGTGAAGGTGGAGTTTTCGTTCAAGTTAAAAGGAATTTAGAAACAATAACATCTCCCTGCAGCTCCTTTAATAATTTTTGGTGATTACATCCCATTTAATACAAAGTTTGCACTACAAATATACGGTCATTCTCTATGTCATATCATGCTGAGGTAATATGTCTTCACATTGAACCAAAGCATTAAAACACATGTTGGGATGAGGGACAGACTTGTTTCTTTGTGCACTCTCGGGGTGAATTCGTTGACATGTGCTCACTATCGCTGCTCTGTTCGAGACATCTCCTGACACTGAACATTCACGTACACCATTCCTCAGGACTCTATCCTTAGCCCTTTCCTC